TTTTTTTTTTTTTTTTCAAATATTCATTAATTTGGAATTTGATTTCCACATCAGGCTCTAAAGCCCCTGGGACAGGGTCATGTTGTGTTCCATCAGCTAACAACACTCAGTGTTTCTTCACAGATGTGACAGTTACTCATAGACACTAATGCACCCCCATACCATCAGAGAGGCTGGCTTTTGAACTTTGTGCTGATTTGTGGTCTCGTCASACCACAGGACACTTTTCCAGTTTGAGTCAGTCCATCTCAGACGATCGGGTCCAGAGAAGCYGGCGGTGTTTCTGAGCGTTGCTGATATCTGTCTTTGTCTTTGCGTGATAGAGCTTTAACTTGTAGCTGTAGAGACGAACTGTGTTKGCTGACGATGGTTTTCTGAAGTCTTCCTGAGCCCRTGTGCTAATATCTGTTACAGAAGGATGTGGGGTTTTTAATGCAGGGCTGCCTGAGGGGTCAAAGGTCATTCAGTGTTGGTTTTCAGCCTCGCTGCTTCCTTGCAGAGATTTGTTCAGATTCTCTGAATCTTTTGATGATTTTATGGCCTGTAGATGATGAAATCACTAAATTTGTGCACTTGTACTGCAGAAAGTTTCAGGTCTTCAAACATTAAAACACATTTATTGTCAGAATGAGCTGCACTCTGTTCGACAATTAAAAAAATGTTGACGTCGCTCAGAAACACGATCACACAGATAAAACAACATGGATCTAAAATCATCTTTAAATCCTTTTTAAACTCAGATCGTGGGCAGCTTTTCAGATTAAAACTCACAGAAATGTTTTTAAATCTGTYCATTTGGAAACATCTGAAGCAGTGGCTGTGAAAAAACTGTTCTTCAGTAACTGTTTAAGTTTGGACGCCCCGTTCATCCCAAACACGTGAGCTGTTCTGGCAGGAGGGGGCGGAGCCTTCCGTAAACCAGGACTGGGTCTATAAGAGGAGCCCTAAATCCAGACCGGCCCCCACAGAGAGCCCAGCCTGGAGGTCCGCTCATCTGTTAGACAGAGCTGCGATCAGATCCAATCATCTGGCTGTTCTTCGTCACTGACCCTCATCATCATCATCATCATCCTCAGGACAGGTAAAAAATCCTCTTTTATTATTTCACCTGCAGAAAACCTGAAATCATTATTGTTATATGATGATCAGGATAAAACACGAGGAATAATATTTGTTAAAGTTCCAATAATTATTTTTGATGATTTGGTTTCCTCCCTCAGATCTTTAAAACTAGTTTGATAATYTAAAAGAATAATTTAGGTTAAAACAAATTGGAGCATTATTGATTCTCAAACACTGAAAAGAAAGTTTTTAAACATGAAAAACCGAATATTAAAGCTGCTCGTTTTACTGAATTTTTTTGTGATTTGTATCACAGTCAGACAGGGATCTCAGTGAAATTATCTAAACAAATAATAACCTTTTTATCTTATTTTTTTATATATATAAACGTAGCTTGTTTTTGTAGATTTTCTGCTTTAACCTCTGTGGTTCTGGACRCTCGTGAGCAGATTGCTCCTTTAGCTGCTCAGTGCTGAGCTCAGCACTTCTGCCTGCTGGCCTTTCTTTAACAAGATTAAAGAGAGACACCGGCTAGAAACAGAGAGTGCGAGAGCTTATTAACTCAAGCCAGGGATTATGGGAAACTGGGTCATCTTTGCCAGAGTGTGGTCCACCTTCAGTCCCAGGGAGTCTGATCCAGGTGTGTAAGAGGATTACAGGTGATAACGTCGGGCAGAGGAGCTGCAGGTTCCACCAGAACAGAGGAGATTTACAGGCTGTAAATAAAAATAAGTAAATAACATTTTTGTTTTTTGTTTCCAAATTGCAGGTTCGAGACAAGCCCACATCTGAGAGGCGTTTCGGACACACCGGTCATTTAGAGCTGCTCAAAAATGAACCTTGAGCCTCCAAAACCCGAAGTCAAGTCAGCCACGCGTGTGACCGGCGGCCCTGCGACCCCGCGCAAAGGCCCCCCGAAGTTCAAGCAGAGGCAGACTCGTCAGTTCAAGAGCAAACCTCCAAAGAAAGGAGTGCAGGGGTACGCCTCAACTGAACGCGCCGCCTTTCGAAATAAAAGCAGGTTTTCRTTTGTAATCCTTGTTTCTTCTTGCAGCTTTGGTGACGATATCCCCGGCATGGAGGGCTTGGGCACAGGTGAGTTTACTTCAGGGTCTAAAACCTCCAGAACCAACATGAACCAGAGCAGCCTCACATTTCTGCTCTTCTCTGCAGATATCACCGTCATCTGCCCGTGGGAGGCCTTTAACCACCTGGAGCTGCACGAGCTGGCCCAGTACGGCATCATCTGAGCCTTCAGGTCTCCTCGAGACCCTCTGAGGAGCCCAGGACGTGCACTTTGAACCACCTGCCTCAGGCTCCGCCCCCTGATCCGTACCATGGAATTGTTCTGAACCGAAACAAACGAGGGGGAAAGAATCCCCACCATTCTGCGGCATTTCCTTCGAAACACTCCTGCTTTTCCTCACGTTTCAGGGTCGAACCTGGAAGGGGGCGTTCCCGATTGAGAGGGGGTGTTCCCACCAGGGAGGGGGCGTTCCCGATTGAGAGGGGGCGTTTCCACCTCACCTGACCCGACACTTCTTCAAACCCTGAAGCCCGTCCGCCATCGCTGAGTGGAAACTTTCTGTGGGATTAACACCATAAAATTCTTATTTTTTCCCTCTGTTTGCACCTTTAACTTCACCAGAAAAGTTTAAATTTAAAATATTCTCAAATATTAAAATATGTAAGAATGTTTATAGACAAAATGTGTCTTTTTATGTTTGCTAAACAAATTTAGTTGGTTTTGAAATGTTGAAAACATTTTCCTGCAGTAACTCTGTCGTTATATTTGCTTATTTTAACAGCAATTTTCATTTTATTTCTTTTTAAATCTTTCTTGTATTTGTTCTTTATTGAAGTAAATGAGTTGTTTCATTTTAAATTTTTTCACCTTTTACCCAACGCTGTTTGTTTCTGTGAGTTTATATTTGAAGTTTTTAAGATGACACTTCATTTTGTGTTTGATTCATCTCCAAATCCTCAGAGATAATTGCTAAAACACATATATGCGACAAATAATTAAAAAAATTAATAGAACACAAACAACATTTAATCACTTAAATCACATTATTTCACAGAATCAACACATTAGATTTAACACAGAATCAATGTTTTTGCCACAAACCAAGAATAAAAATTAAAACTGAGTAATTTTAAGTTAAATAAATTCTATAATTATGTATTTTAGAACAATTAAAATTATTTATTTTTCTATTTAACTTCATAAAAGCAGAGTATTGTGCGTCGAATTGGTTGGTTGGTCAGTAAAATTGACTTATCTTTAAATGTATTTATATTTTGATTTTTGATCTCAGAACAACTCACTCTGACCCAGCAGCTCATTTTATGATCATTAAATTATAAAATCAAATCTTACAAAATTACCAATAAACATTTTTTTTCAGTCTTAACTTTATTGAAACTAATCTTAGATACCCAGAAGATGCTGGTTTCAAGTAAACCAACATCATAAAGTGAACAATAAACTCTTACAGGCATTCCTTTTTTTTTGCCACTTCAGTAGAAAACAAAACTGAATGTTAGTTTCTTAATTTCTGCATCATCAGTGGCTTTTTAAATTTTTTTAAAATAATACTGTTGTAAGAAAGAAAAAGTAGAAGAGAAATATAAGAACAGTAAATAGAGAAATTAATAGAAATTATACAACATGTGAAATGAACACCAATAACACACAGGACACCACACCCGACATTTGACCATCACACATAATCAGGCACATACACATACATTCACATATACACACACACACACATACATACACACACACTCACATACCCCCCCCACCCCACACACACACATACATACATCTAGTGATTGTCAAAAGCCCCAGGATCCAAATGTCTTACAGGCATTCCTTACTAATAATATCATAGCTACACATACTGTATTTAAATTACATCTTTTTCATATTTACATTATGACAAAATGACAAAAACCATTAAACACTGAAGAGTGACAAAATACTCAATGTGCAGCAATAAAAACTGATTTAAAAATAACCAAATAAATAAATAAAATGTTCTCACTTTTAAAATATTTCAAAACTATATTTTGACTAAATAAAACCAGTTACATAAATGATGGTGATAATTTACAGAAAAAAGTTTTACATTCTGACACTGATTTATAAAAGTAGACAAGAAGTGACTGACTTAATTTGTTTTTCTCAAATGAACAAACAGGAAGTGACTGATTTCATTTGTTTTTCTCAAATAAACAAACAGGAAGTGACTGTTTTCGTTTGCTTTTTTATTGTTTGAACAGATTAACTGATTTCTTTTTTTTATTCTCTCTCTGCTACCAACTTGTTTAAGTCCTCTAATCATTCATGTTTTCTTTACCAGTCCTTTTACCAAGTGAACCAAAACAAAAGCCAACGTATCCTTATGACCAAGTTCAATTTTAAACCCAAGTAATAATGGTAAATGGCTTGAACTTATACRGCTCTTTATCAAATCCCTACAGACTCCAAAGTGTTCAAGACTTCAGTCATTCACACAATGATGATCTATGGGGCGCACTGACAGAGGCGGGGCTGCCATGCCCCTGTGCCACCAGACCCTCTGACCTCCATCAGTAGGCAAGGTGGGTGAMGTCTTGCCCAATGACACAACAACTGAGACAGATGGAATGGAGGATCAAACCGGCAACCTACCACCACAACAAAATAAATAATAAAATAAATTCTTAAATTATTGAAAAAACCCAAAGTGTCTTACATCAACCATTTTTTAGACCTAAAATATCAAACCTATATTTAGTCGTTTCTAAAACGACACAATGTCTCYACAGGTGAAGTTCTGTCAGACGGCTTAAAGCTGCCTGAAAGGGTGATCTGTCATAATTTAATGTTCCACTTCCATAATAAAAAAATCCCCACAGCTTATTCTAACTTCTATAAGACTAACGTCTACTCTAAAACAAACGTGGACAGTTGAAGGCAGAAACATTCACACTAACACAGGAGAAATACGAATATCTGACTGTTTTTATGTCAAAACTGTGAAAGCAACAAAAAACAGCAAGAAAATAAACTCACATCTTGTTTTCTGTCACCAGATCTTCAAAAATCCAGTTATCGTTTAACACTGATGCAACATGATCTGTCTCAGGAGTTTTAAATGTTTCTGAATACAGAAATATGTTACAAACAAATGGTTTCTCTTCTGTTTAGAGTCATGTGTTTCAGCACAAACAAAATTWATCTGATTCCCTCCAGTTTGGCCTCTCGTTTGGACATTTTGAGCTTCACTGTCCACCTGTTTGTCTCTGCGTGTGGAGAATTTGATGTTTTTTAAGATTATAMTGACTTCGAAACCTTTTYTCACAAACATCACACTGAAATGGTGTCTCTCCTGTGTGAACTCCCGCGTGTTTTTTGAGATCACACTTGTATTTGAAGTTTTTGCCACAAACCTCACACTGAAACGGAGCCTCTCCGGTGTGAACTCGCTCGTGTTTGTGGAGATTAGACTTRTATTTGAAATTTTTACCGCAAACGTCACAATGAAACATCGCCTCCACCGTGTGAACTTTCATGTGCTTCGTAAGATCGCTTGGATACTTTAAATATTTCCCACAAATCTCACACGGATACACCGTCGTATGGAACCTCATGTGTTTTGTAAGATCAATTTCTTGGTCGAATCTGTATCCACAAACATAACAGGCAAAGGGTTTCTCTCCTGTGTGGAAGCTCATGTGTCTCTGTAAATTTCCTTGTTGTGAAAAACTTTTACTGCAAAAACCACAAACGAATGCTTTTTCTTTCGTATGAACTGTTGCGTGTTTTTTAAGCACATAACGAAGCCTAAAATTTTTCCCACATAGATCACAGTGATATGGTTTTGGTCTGTTGGGGACTGATTTCTCATTATTATTATTATTATCCATAAATTCACTTTCAGGTCCAGAATTGGACATTGGTTCCCTCCAGGCACCATCACTGACGTCAGCTGCTGGGGGCTCTGAAGGKTTTTCAGGACTTATTTGGCTCAAATTACAACTTAGATCTGGGTTTCTGCCTAGTTCTGGCCCATCGTAGTCCTCTCCATCTGTAAATCTGATGGCTGAAGGTTCAGTCTCACTGACGTCCCAAGTTTTGATTTGATAAAACTGTGACGACTCAAGTTTCTCCTCGTCGTATTTGTGGTACGAGAACCTGCTGATCTCCTCTTCATCCTGACCGCTCCWGAGTTCCTCCTCTTCCTCCTTTATGTGGAGGAGTTCTGGGTCCTGCTGGTCCAGACTGGAAGTCCACTCTTCTTTAATGACCACCTGCTGAACCTCTGCAGGTAACACTGAAACACACACAGACATGTTGAACAGCTGAGGCTTCCTGATGATACACATTGGTCACGTGAAGAGAACTGCATTGTGACGTACTTTGCAAAATGACAACTTTATGAAGAGGAGGTAATAAGATAAATAACAGTAAATAATAAAGAGGCTGGGATCAGAACCACCTGGACCAATTGATTCAACTCAAAACTACAATATTTTTCGCAGTCAGCAGCTAATTTGTGTAGCAACAACACGTCTACAGTTTAGTTTTTAGTAGTTTGYAATGAGAGGTTTAAATAATGTCAGAAACCAAGGAAAAATGAGTCAAAAATATGAATCCATCAAAACTTAAATTTATTATAAACAAAACAAAAGGCTGTCACAGCAGCAGAACTCTCAGAGACCTGAAGATTCAGTACGAGGAGACACTAGAAGACGAAGAGGAGCGGTACGGCAGGTATAAGTGAAGTCTAAAACTAAAGGGGTGGAGCTGATGAGGAGGAGTGGCTGCAGCTGTGACAGGTGGAAATGAGAGTGGCACACTGAGGCACAGACCAAAACACAGAATAAAACATAATAATCAAAAGGGAAAATAAAAACAATAAACACAAATGRCTAAATAAGAGCAAACCACAGATCATTTACATGAAATTGAACTGACACAGTATTTATTTAAATAGATAAAAGTACTGAATAAAATACTTTCACTCTTACCTATAGGTCAGTTCAAATCAAACTTACATGAGCTTTATCTACCATCACTGACCTGTCAATGCTAGCCATGTTTTATGAAAATGAGTACGCTTTGTGCTATGTTTTTATGCTATATGTTTTGTTTTTATTTATTTTGTATATGTCATGTTTTTATCTGATATATTTTCTATGTGACTTGGATATGTTGTTTGCATGATGTTTTGTTTCTCCTTCACCTTTTTCTTAAGGGAGTCTCTGGTACCCGCCAGGCTGACATTGTAAATAAGAAGTTTTTCTTAGTGTTTTGCCTGGTTAAATAAAGGTTAAACAAAAAAATACAAGTAAAATAAACTATCTTGAATACTTCCGTTATATTAGTTTATTTAAACCAAAACAATCTATATACAGTAAAACAGTAAATAATGATGTGAATGAAAAGGGTGCAGAGTAAAAAAAAAAATCTTACATATACTGTGTTATATATTATCTTTTTTTATATATATATATGTATGTATGTGTGAAGTGTTTTCATAAAAATATTAAAAACATTTTTCTGAATAAAACATTATCTGTTGTGGATTTTCATGTGTCTCTTCAGAGAACACTGTCGTGTAAAACTCGCAGCACAAACATCGCAGCTAAATCTTTTCTCTTTTGTGTGCACGACTTGGTGCACAAAAAGATGCGACGACTGGACAAACTTTTTCCCACAGACTTCACAAGCAAAGCGTCTCACTTCAATGGAAACCTTTTTCTCTCTTAAGTGAACCGGCTCGTGCTTCTTGAGATCTGCCTTTCGGAGGAACTTTTTACCGCACTGGTCACAAGCAAACGGCCGCTCTCCTGTGTGGATTTTAACGTGTTTGATCAGACTTCCCTCTCGAGAAAATCTCGCGCTACAAAAGCCGCAGACGAATGGTTTCTCTCCTGTGTGAAACATTATATGTGCATCAAGGTCCCGGCAACGTCTGAAACGCTTATCACAAATACTACAAGCAAACGGTTTTTCTCCYGTATGAAGCGACATGTGTTGCTTCAGATTACCTTGTATTCTGAATGTTTTATCACACACATCACACTGAAATGGTTTCTCTTCTTTGTGGCTATTTATATGACTCTTCAGAACACATAAATAACTAAAGGTTTTATCACACTTATCACATGCAAACGGCCTCTCTCCTGTGTGGAGTTTCATGTGGTATTTAAGATAACATTGTCCTCTAAATATTTTACCACACTCAACACAGGTGAATCGTTTCTCTCCYGAATTWTCTCCAGTTTGCTTCTTTCTAGAAMGTTTCTCATTAACCAAACTGGAAGAGCTTTCACCTGAATGAGAAGTCATGTGTTTCTGAAGAGACTGCTTGTAAAYAAACCGTTTACGACACTGAGGGCAGCTGAAGGAGATTTTTACTCCTTTATGTCCCACGTTGCATTTTACTCCCGACTCAGGTGTTCTGCTTTCCCTCCAATCTTGATCACTTTCTGTGGTTTTAGATTCAGACCCTGACACGTTGTCAGACCACACATCACCATAGTCATCACTATTTTCTGTGTCAGAAGAGTCGGAAGGCTTTGAATTTGGCTTTAAATATGTTCTTGGATCATGGTTCCTGGTTGGTTCTGGTCCTCCACTGTCCTCTCCMTCYGTTTCTGTTTYCATRAGYTCAGCTGAGCTGCTGGTTGGAGKTTCTGTCTCTCTGCGGTCTTCAGTTTTGATCTGATGAAGCTGGAATAACTGAGGTTTCTCATCATCTTCCCTCTTCACAATAATCTGCTTTCGTTCCGGACGGCTCCAGAGTTCCTCCTTTTCCTGCTCTACATGAAGGAGTTCTGGCTCCTGCTGGTCCGGCTCGGAGCTCCACRGATCAGAAACCTCTTCTTTAACCTCCAACAGTTGCGGGTCATCTGCAACACACATGGACATCATGTGGGATCTTTGTAAAAACCCAAAGGTTGGTGCTGAAATTAACTTTAGAGGTACAGTTTGGCCCCAGAGCCCCTGATGACTGAAGTTTTTGTGACTTTGTTCAGTTGGCTGCTGAAAAAAAGAGCCAGGGATTTAGTCCAAGTAGCTCCTCAGTTACCTGTAACCAGCATCGCTATTAGATGTTTAGTAAGGTACAGTTCATTTTATTCTTTAACTCAATGCTTTCAGTAGAATAATCAAACCACACCAGCTCAGAGAAACAGGAAGTGTTGAGAGGAGAGAAAGAAGAAATGTAAGTGGGCCACGATGGTAAACAAGACTRAAAGCTACTAACCAAACTGCTTTTCTGATGCACTTTCTGACTAATGTTCACTTAATGGCACCCCAACCGTGTCCCTTTATTTAAACAACAAACTAAACTCACTTCACCAGATGAGGGTCTATTATTCTTCCAAGATGACAGCAACCATCTGTCAGGGAAATCTCCTGGAGGGGGTGTGTGTACATCAGTCTGGTGCAAGTCAACCATTGCTGAGAATCAGTTAAATATCACTGAAGTGGAATAAAAAAGGCGTATTTTTAGCACTTGCAACAGTCACATAGACGTTGTAGAATAGTAGCATGACCATTAATGGGAAATCTGGACCAAATAAATACAGTCCATCAATCAATCATTTTGTCACTGACAACGAGATGAGCCTCAATGAAATGCTGAAAAGATTTTCTGAATTAATTACATTTTTGCCTTTGTTGTTACAAAGAAGTGAGGTTAGTGTATTCAAAACGGACAAATGTAGTATAAAAAATATTGTTACTATGCCCATGTTTAGTTGACCTGATACAAATGTTTATCATCCAACAACAGTTGGGGGCACAGGTCTCTACTACTGTTATTTTGTGGGTCAAAAGCTGAAAAGTTTGGGAACCAGTGCACTTTGGTTCCCAAAGTTGGGCTTAGGACCCAATTATGGGTCATGAAGCACCTTGGATAATCTCCAGAAATCAATTTAAAGGGTAATAAAATAATTGCTGATGTAATATTTTTCCCTACAACTATTACAAAAACACAAAATAAGTAAAAATAAATATTTATATTTGTGTACAAGCTGTTTAGA